AAATTTGTTGAATTTTCCTAAATTTTGTATAAAGTTTGAAACTGTGATTTATGTTTTTGGTAAAAGCTTGCGACGGTATTTTTACAGAAAAATAACAAAGACTTTTTAAATATTAAAAAAAAAAAAAATGAACACGTGGGCATTTGTTTGAGTCACTGTACATATATAAATGTGCAATGCACAAAAACTCCCAAAATCCCAAAAAATTAAAAAAATGTTCATCAAAGTTGTGGAATTCGAGTTACACGGAGTTGCGTAAGCTTAAAATACGCTAAATCTTACCTTAAAAACTATGCTATAAACTGTTACCTCTGTCAACTATCAATTTTATTGAAGAAACACATATTTCTACAGGCCGAAGAATATTTTTTTCACTATTCGATTTTTAATTTTTGTGAAAATTTTTTTCATTTCACTATCACTAGCTACTAGTGTAAACTGAAAATTTAGCGCAAATAAATTAATTAGTTCCATGAAATTTTTAGGCTTTTATGCTCATTTTCCTCGATTTCTGGTTTCTGGTTTTCGATAGAGATGGTGATTTTTCACGATTGAATAATTTTTTTTAATATCACCGAAAAAGTTAACTAAACTTGTATTTTTATTCAGCCTTATCATGAGTTTCATTTTCTCCGAACCGGTTCACTTTTCACTCATGGTTTCCATGGTTTTAATATGGGCGGATGACAAATTTTCAGTTGAGTTTTTTTTTTCAGGCGAAACTCAGGATAAGGCAGATTATGTAGCTCATTTCGGTGGAACGAACTCGAAGTTGGTAAATAAAATTTTCCAACCTTTGTTAAGAGCATATCAGTGGTAAACTCTTTTAGGCTGTAAAGTGTAAAAAACAACAGCAAGTGGGTATGCGTGGCATATTTTTAGGACGATGTTTTCAGCCGCAGTTAAGCTTTTAAGAGTTTTCAAGAAAAACGAAAAATTCATATAAAATTCTTAGAAAATTAGGAGAAATGGAAAAGAAATTTTCTTCTATCAACATTTCTTAAATTAGTTTGCAGCTTTCAAGAAAAAATAAATGCTTGTATATTTATTTCTTCAAGAAAATTCACAGCAAAAGTAAAGTGCTTTTTCAAGCATTTCTTGTAATTTTTGAGGTTATTAGCTTTAGGGGGGACGCACAGTGGTTGCTGCCATAGGCTAAAATTAAAAAAATGTATGTAAAAATTGTTGAACCAAAATAGGCTTTGCAATCAGTTTTGTCCAAACTTCATGTTGTCATATATTTTTTGTTTTACTTCTAACGGTTGTTTCTTAAAAAAGCATAAAAAGTGTCATCAATTTATTTGTACAGCATCAGCACGCTGAAAATTGAATTGGATTTAACGTATTTAATTAAAATATTGTGAAAAGCCGAGTGAGTTAAAATTATATACACTGGATATTGTACGTAAAGGTATTGACTGAATTTCTATAATTAAAATTTTAGATAATTCCTGTTGTGTTCTATGCAAATCGTTGTTTTAGAAAAGTAGGATTTTGTGTGTTTCTTGGTTCGTCTTTCAAGTATTTAGGTAATGTTTTAAGTGTTTTTCTTCTATCGGCCCTCAATATTTTTATTTACATATTGTTTGTTAATGTTTTAAGATTCGCCTAAAATTCCATAACCTAATCCAAGCCCTTTATTTTCGAAAGTTTTTTTCATGTTTATTTCTTGATTTATGTATCTAATTTTCTAATTCAAAATGATTCTAGGCACAAGTTAACAATGCGAATTTTGTCGATTGCATGTTTCTGAGATTTGGCGTGAAAATTTCGGTACGCATTCCCAAAATTTCAAAATTTGCTGGGTGCAATAGCGAATGATATTGAATATGAGGGTTTTGAGCCGGATGGGTATGAGTTGCAAAAATGTATTAATTACAAAAACCCAAACACCAAAAATCAGCAGTTTTGAAAAGTCATTATAATTGGCTCGAAAAGAAAGAAATCATTTCATTAAAATGTCAACCAATAGTTCCCACCAATTCAAATCGTGGCGCCCGAAAATAGATTTTGTTGAGTCTTCAAAAAGACTAAGCGTCGGCGAACATAACGGGATAAAATTTTTACTCTAAGGTCTGTTAAAAGCACTGTTGCCAACTTAGTGCTTTTCGCACTAAATTTAGTGCTTTTCTTAATTCAAAACGCAAAAATTTTTGAGTTTGGTGCTTGGTGCCTTTTTTTTTTTTAGTTTGAAGACACCAAAACTGTAAACCTGAAACCAAAATGGAAGTTAAATATGAAGCAATAGGAATTTTCGTATGGAAATTTACAAAAATGGAAACAAAATCATGGTACGATGACAATCATAAGCGATAGAACATATGTTTGTCAAAAAAATAAGTGGCAGCACTTTCAATCATGCCAGAACCACATACGGTAATTTGCCATTGCCTGCAAAAACGTCCATGTTTCTGAGACCAGGAATCGATCTTAGATCTTTAATGTGGGCTGATTTTTTTATATTTCTTACGAATATTAAAAGCTCCAGTATTTCCTAACAGCAAAATGAATAACGAATCTTCGACCGCCGCGCAAGAAGCATTATTTTTTATTAGTTTGAATCGGCATATCTACAATAAAATTTTGTATGCATTCAAAGTCCATTAAACCGTCCAATAAAAAATTTGGTGATTTTTTCGAGAAAAAACGCGACTTTTCTAGGATGTTAGTGCTTTTTCAAATTCAAAACTTGGCAACACTGGTTAAAAGTAAGAAGTGTAATATGTAAAAGTGGGCGGGGTTGGACACGCCCACATACAGTCATGTGAAAAATAATAGGGCCACGACATTGTGACCAGTTTCGGCTATTTATTTTTGTTTGTTTAATGTTTATTTTTTTATAAAAATACAACTCACTATCTAACAAAAACCCCATAAGTCCAAATTTCAAACTTTATAAAAAAGGTAGAAAAATTCAACAAAATTTTAAAACAACACAAACCTTTTTAATAAGAACTTTGAGAAAAAATCCAGGTGTGCAGTTTTAAAGCCCATTACACATGTACATATGTATATGGGAAAATCTTTTGAGATGGACATTTTTCCAATTTTTTTTTTCAACATAGTAGCACAATTTTTTTCCATATATGATCACTTGTCAACCCAATTGAAGTACATTATAACCCGCGTAACTAATATTTTCTAATTGTTACTCTATTTAAATCATATTTTCAAAATTTTGTTCTATTAGCCCGATCAAGTTAGATTTTCAAGATTGCAGTAACTCGCATAAAGCGTAAAATTGGTTCGAATGTTACGAACATCTTTATAAATGAAATGTGAAAAGGCTTAATCGATCCCAGATCCTTAAAAAAAATTATTCAAGGTCAAAGGTCACATAAATTGATTTTTACCATTTTTCAGCTTAACCGTAAGGTTTATAAAAATATAGGTTAGACAAAAATGTAGATCATGCAATTATCTCTAAATAATCTAAAATCTCTAAATAATCTAAAATCCAAGAACCCACATTTTTTCCGTGAGTATAATATTGATTTCATACATACATATATCTCCATACCAAGGTCCAGTATGCTGCCACAAATACTTCCAGAGGTATGCAGTATGAAAAATTCCGTTTGTATGGGAGGTGCCACGCCCCTTTGTCTAATCGAGATAAAAGCTACCCTTTCTTTTAGTTGGGCTAAACGACACCAGTATGCGAAATTTCATTAAGATCGGTTGAGTAGTTAAAGCGTGAAAGCGTAACACACAAACCTTTCGCATTTATATCATTAAGGATTATCCAGTACTGACCATTAAAATAATTTTTTGTGTTGAGCATTTTTTACACAGACCCAAATACACAAACACAAAATATTACACCAGTGCTTATGATTTTTTTTGGCCTTGATTGGTTGTGCTCAGCGAAAAACCAATATTAAGTAAAAAATTTACGCACTAATCACGCGTTTTCTCAAGAAGATCTTTCAGCAATGATAAGTAGTACATTGTCCTTTAACCTTGGATTCTTCTTCTGAAAAATTGAAAAGTATATTTTATACCCATAAATGTGAAATAAGTACCGCATAACGACTACCACAAGAAAATTCAAGTTTCAGATGGCTGTTTTATTCCTCACAACCTAGAGACAAATGTCTGAAAACCCCAAGCTTTAGGTCTGACCGCTCAAGAAGTTATACCTTAATAAAAATTAGATTTTGTGCGATTTGCACTAGAAATTTCTTGATTTTCTCAATTTTTGCAAGTAAACTGGTCATTTAAACCGTTAGTTTTGTTTTGAATAACTATTTATTTATATTTACACATATAGGTAGTATTAGCGAAGGTATAGAAACTGCATTTGGCAGTGCTGCAGTACGCAAAATGTCACCGTCTCAATAGATTTCACCATACTTATACCCTTATTGAAGTAAGTTTATTTAACGATGTTTTGTAGCTGTTTTACTGCGCATAATGCGAGTTTATTTTAAAGCAATAAAAAAAAAAACGCTGCTCATATTTGTATGCAAGGCAGGCAGAGGGTGGAATATTGTAAGGACATAGACTTACTTAGTTAAGTCGCTGCTACTCCTACTACATCCCGTTTCTGTTTCTCTCCAATGTGTACTGCCTTCAATTTTCAACTCTCCGCTGCAAGTTTTGTTCTACGCCGCTTTGTTATTTTTGCCTGCTCGAAAGTAAATTGATTTCGACTTTAGATTTATAACGATTGCCTAACTAATGATTGTACATTCGTTCTGCTTGGCAACCGTTTAATGGCGCACAAAGCAGGCATATTCCCATTTCATTGCTTTTTGTACCCAAATACGTTTGGAAAAACCATTAAAATACATTTCTATGCTACTTATTTGATTTTATGTTGCTACTTAGTCTTAGTCCAAAAGGATTTGCATAGAAATCCGGCCGCTATGTCGGACTGCTCGTCAAAATATTTATTTCTTGCACAATTTTAATTCTACGCTTCTGTTTTATTTCGCTTTTTATTTGTTGTCGTGCTTATAAAATGTTTTTATTGATGTGTCCTTTTCCATTTTCAGGACTGGGCGATACGCAGCGAGGAGCAGAGCTTGATGATTGAACGCGTCCTTGTGCTGATACGAAACGTGCTTCAAGTGCCAGCCAACCCGGAGGCAGAATGTCGTGCCGATAATGATGCCAGTCTGCATGACCAAGTTATCTGGGCGCTGCATCAGTCTGGCCTGATGGATTTGGTGTTGTTCGTGGTGTCATCGCCGGATGAGCATCAGTTTCATTTGCACGGTTTGGAGATTTTGTGTCTGCTTTATCGCGAACAAGTGAGTAAACGATGAGGTTACTATGAACTTGAAGTTTTCTGTGTGGGTGAATGGATAACAGTACGCGGCGAAAGCTGGAAGACTAGCGGTGCAGGAGGTGGGCACTAAAGAGTTGAAAATGTTCACAAAAAAAAAAAAACCAAGTGATTTGGAAAGAGCAGCGCGTTGGCGTTGCCGAGATTTCTTGGCATGATGAGTAGCTGGAATTTATTTAATGATGTTAGACTATTGAAGTGTTTGCTTTGAAGTATGTCATCTTCATTATTTGTTTTTATCAGATTAAAGCAGTATTGAAGCTAGCAGATATATGTATGTATGTATACAGCAGCATGCAAATCCAAGGGAAATAAGAGCTTATCATGACTGCCCAAAATACCTTAAACAAAAAGTGGGAATTTTTGAAAAAGGTTAAGTTATTGATTACTTTGTTCGCAATAGAGTTTCGAGTGTAACAGAAAGGGCCACCGCGACCTAGAAGATCTTTTGTATCCCTACGATGGTTCCTGACCCTGACGGCCCAAGATGTTATTAGCCTCCCTTATGAATGCTAAAAGTTTCTTGGTAGACGAGTTCCTAACCTTAAGGGCATCGACTGTGGCAGAACTGAAGTATTTCGGTCTTAGTCTGGCCAATACGGGACAATCACACATAATGTACTCCGGCGACCCTTCGTCTTCAAGGCAAAGACGGCAGTTTGTCTTTGTGGAAAAACCAATGGGGTGCATGTCAAATAGCCAACACTCTAAAAAATTTTTGTTTAAATTTGCGCATATTAAGATAGGTAACCAGTTTCCTCTCTTAATGAATGCAAATTTAAACAATGCTTGCTTACTTTTACATATCATATGTGTTGCGTAGAACAAATTTCAAATTTCTTTTTTGAGTTTTAAACATTTATTGTTCACATTTTCAGAGTTTACATATAAAACGTTTAAAATTTCCTCTAATAAATTTTCGTTTAAATTTACGCATATAAAGAGAGGTAACCAGTTTCCTCTCCTAGTGTGTGCAAAATTAAACAATGTCTGTTTACTTTTACATATCAAATTTGTCACGTAGCGCACACAAGGGGTGGGTTTTGGGGCTAAATTTATTATGATATAAGAAATTTTGAAAGAAAAAATTTTCTTTTCCATTTCTTGTGCGTCATTTTGTAAGAATTTTTCGTTTTTTCTTGAGAGCTCTTTGAAGTTTAACTGCGAATTGTCCTAAAAATATGCAATGCATACTACTCACTTACTGTTGCTTTTTACACTTTACAGCCTAAAACAGTTTACCACTGATATGTACTTAATAAGCATTCGAAGATTTAATTTGCTAACTTCGAATTCGTTCCACCAAAATGAGCTACATGATAAAAATACAAGTTCAGTTAAATTTTCGTTATTCGAATTATTAAAAAATGAGAAACCAGAAATCGACGAAAATTAATAAAAAAGTGTAAAAATTTCGTGAAATTATTTAATTTATTTATATTAAAATTCTTTTGTAAAATTTTGTATTACTTTTGAAAGTTGAGTGCATCTTTAACCGTTAATTTTTTCATGATTTAATGATCGGATCTAAACCAAATTACGAGACGACCCTTAAGGTACCATCTTTCCGGTAAAAAAAAATAATTATTGGAATCGGTTCACGCTGTGCAAAGTTATGCGGTGGAGTAAATAAAAGAAGTGAAAATACTCCGAAGAATTGATAACCCCCCCTTTTCTGAAGCCGGTTAAAAATGTCTGAGTTCTTTGTAAATTTTATGTAAATAAAATGCAATTGATGATACTTTAAAAAGTTTATTTATTTATTTCATACTGTAAATAAAACTTTCATAAATGTATTTTAAAGAGCGAATTTTCAGTATTTGCTGATGATATAAATTTAGAAGTATAAACCCTTTCCCCCCAAAAATATATTCCTGCGTGCGCCCCTGGCACTTAGTATTTATTATTTGTAAAAAATATATTTTTACTTTCAAAATGTTTGTAATTTTAAACATTTCATGTGTATATTTTAAACAACTCATGTTCAAAATCAAATCTTGAACATCTTGTGCGTATACTTGAACAGATTCTGGTTGAAAAATAAACACTTTTCAGTAGTAGTTTTACATGCACTTTTTAGAGTGAACAAGAAGGAATATTTATATCTTTGCTAGCGAAAGGATAACTAAAAGGTCAAGCCTGTCTAAAGCCCCCTATCTCTCCCCAGTACTTACGGCGTTATGAGTTTACCCACGATTCTATTTTAAGCCTCGAGGGGGATCAACTGAGCCCGCAAAACGATTCCGGTCCAACAAGTACGGACGATGAGCCTTCTCTTGCCAATTCGTCGGCGGGCGCGTTACCCACAATCCCGGAGTGTACCGGTTTCCATTATAATAATATTGTGTTCCTCGCTGATAAGAGTTGAGTGGTGTCACAGCACTCCTTGACGAGCCTAGAGGTGATCTTCTTATTGGAAAAGGCCTTTTTGGCCGCCTGGCTATCTAAAAATAAAATTAGAAACGCGCCTTTAAACCCTTCTCAAGGTTCAGTCTGGCACAAATCGATATTGCTAGTATCTCGGCCGGATAGACTGTGGATCAAGTACCCATTGCAATAGAAAGATTGGTGCCAGGTCCAAAGACAACCGCTCCTGCTCTGCTCTCCATCTTTGATCCGTCTGTGTACCAGCGTACATATCTGGGATCTAGTTCTGGTAAACCATTTGACCAGGCATCTCGGTCTGGACCTACAGCTTTACGCCACCTTCGTACTGCAAACGGATTTTATGAGAATGTGCTTCATTACTTCCCCAGTTTATCTAGTACTTTCGAAATCGCTTTCCGCTGTTTTGTTACTCATACAGTCATGTGAAAAATAATAGGGACCCAACATTTTTACCAATTTTGGCTAACTTTCTTGTGTTTGTTTAATGTTTATTATTTTTTTTTTTATAAAAATTCAGCTCATTATCTAACAAAAACCATATAAGTCCAAGTTTCAAACTTTGTAGAATAATTAGACAAATTCAAAAACATTTTACCAATATAGCAAACCTTTAATTAAAAATTTTCCAGAAAAATTCCAAGAATGCAGTTTTATAGCCCATCGTATTCTAATAAATATAATGCAAGTTCCAAGTGCATAAGAATTCTCGTTGATTTTTGATATTTTTTTGCCGATGGTGTTATTATTTTCTTCCATACCAAAAAAAAAATTGTTGACCATAATTTGTATGGAAGAAAATGCGTGAGACTTTCAATAAAACAAAAGTATCAAAAATCAAAGCGAATTTGAGCAACTTACAACTTGCACCTTATTAATATAGCGGTCTATAAGCGGTCATAAGGTTTGTTTTGCTGTAACATTTTGCAGAATTTTTCTAAAAAGTTAGAAATTTAGACTTATATCGAGGGTTTATATTCAGTACCCTCTATCTGCAATTTGCACAAAGGGAACTTTGTGATGTAAGACTTAGGTACCTGTCATCACTGATGGTAATTATAACTTTGTAATTTAATAGTAAATTCTTTTGTCAAGCGTTATACAAGGTCAGCATTAATATCACCGATGACAGTTAAGTTTTAGGTGTATTTTTATATCAGAATATTATTTTTGTGAAAAGTTATTTTTGGCAGATAAAGAGTTGCATTTTTATTGAAAAGGATATGGAAATAAACAAAAAATATGTAATTAAAAATTGTCAAAACTGGTAAAAATGTCGTGTCTCTATTATTTTCACATGACTATGTAATGTATCTTTCCTACGCAGTGGGTAAACGCTTTTCGATTGTTCCGCAGCACACCCTAGCTCCACAACTCGCGCTTTCCATTTGCCCTTCATAAGATTGTGCTTAAACATATGCTCCAAGTAGCGATTTACAAGTACCTTACTTCTAGGTTCTTTACTTCCAGGTAATTTCCGTCCCTCTGACCGGGAGCTCATAGGAAGTTAAATTTATAAAACTATTAAATTAAAGCTTAAGAAAATGTTAGAGTTGAACTTTAAGAAGTTTCAAGAGCTATTTAAAATCGTCCTATAACTAACATTAAAGTTGGCATTCACAATTTTTGACACTGACAGAGGCCATACTCACTGCTTTAGAAGAATCCTTTGGTGGCCGACGTGAAAGCCACATGCTCAGAAACAACCAAAAGACGGTCAATGTGCCCTTAGAAACCATATAAGCCCAATGAGTAAGATATTTCTCGATGGCATATATGTAACCCGTATCTCCGTAAACGCTATAACAGCTATAATAACCTAGCCAATAATAGATATTTATAGTAGTTGTTTGATTTTTCGCTCAGCAGAAGATATGTAGTACGCTCGAGTTTCCAGCACTCCTTGTCAAATTTGATTCAAAGGAAACCCGGCTTCCACGTTGTGCCACCCTTTTTTCAGACAACGAAAATGACACAACGCCAAAATCATCTGGCCTCCAAAGCGAATTTCACAAGTGATGACAGAAATTCGTTTACGACAACGTTTTATAGCTTTCTGTTGTATTGATGTCAAAAGAATTTTTAATTTAAGGAAAATCTGTTTTACTTAGCAAACCATTAAATTCTACTAGCAGCTGCTAGCTATTATTATCTTATTACCGAACCACATTTTCGCCCGTGAGCCATAATCGTACATTTGTAACGCTCTTCTTATCGTCGTGTTATAATCGCTACTAAACCATTTTACCCATCAACTTTTCAATTAAATCCAGCCTAGCGGCACACAATTTGCACGCTGACAGCATTAACACCACAACAACCCTAACGAATAAGCAGCGCACGCATTTCTCGCCATGTGTAATACTGTACATAACGCACATTCCTTGCTGCAGCTAGAAACTATTGCATTCACCTAAATAACCAGGTCACCTGCATAGCAGGCACGCCACGCACCACCTGCACCCAAATCTCCACCACATTTCCGTACATGCACTGACACTGAAACCTCCCCACACAGCCACATATTTTAACCGCCTCAGCTATTCGGGCATCAGCACGACCTAGCTGACATTAAATATTGCGTATGTAACTGACGCTAATTTTCCATTTAATAGACAGCCGAATCCCTTGCGGATGCATCATTGCAACGCAGCATCGCCGAGAAGCAACGCGACGAACAGGAATTGTTGGCTGCGCGTCGCCGTGAACGCCAAAGGCATCACACCAAACCGCCTGCGATGCGGCATTCACGTTTCGGCGGCACGTATGTAATACGGAATATGAAATCCGTGTCGGAACGCGACATCATTTGCCATCAGCCGTTGGAACGTGTTATGTCGATTGATTTCGATCGTGAGAAGAATCAACAGAAGCGCTCATTTCGCCACGTTAAGGAGGAAGTACAGCTGACGCGACGCAGTGCGTTCTCAGTGCGGTAAGTGAATAACCAAACTACATACATACATGTATATGTATATAAAAAATTAAATTTGTAGAATTAAAAAAAAGGATAGTAAGAGAATGAAAAATTCAATCAACCAAGCATTTATGCTGGCATTCATGGTTTTGTGCAATTTTTTTCTCTATTTGTGTGTATGAAATAGTATTTGCCGGCTTGTTTAGATGCGCCTCCGTGATGCCAATTTTTTGTTTGCTTTGTGAGTAGTTTACATTTCAAATTCAATCAAATCAATGAGAAGTATTCAATTGCTTTCGCTTTGGCCGTTTTTTCTATTTTGCAACATTTTTCTTGCGTTAATTTCGCCGGCAGCTTACTTATGACCTCAATACATCGCATAATGCTACAAGCTAAAACAGCCGAAGAGATTGATTTGTTATTCGAATTTTGATTCACTGAAATGGCTGAAACTAGTAAGCTTGATAAGACCATATCCGTTATAAGTTCTTCTAATAATCGACTTAATGAAGGAAACATTTGGTGCACGTGTTTTTGTCGAAATAAGCCAACGGTTGGGCACTGAAATTGTGCGATTTAACGCCAATAGTTTTTTTTTATCTAGGGTTACGTAAAGTCATTGCATTATGCGAGCGAACCGGAAACTTTGTACGCCTGAGCAATCAAGATTGCGCGAACCTTTGCCGACATACGGTCCTTTTGAAAAGGTGGACTTCCAGGATGCAGGGTGTCGGTCGTCTTTTACTTACAACGCTTTGCTTACTGTCGCGTAAGTAAAACCCACAATAATTTTACACTACCGCTATACACATTAAAAAGCCCTTTGTTATATCTTGCAATAAACAAACTGTTTATAAAAAAAAATTCTCATGCCAACCAGTTTTCACTGACATATTTCTTTCTTAATTTCTCTAAGTTAAACTCATGAAATTTTGGGGGTGGAGTTTGCCTCCTTCCTAGACTTGGATTAGGAGTTATTGAGATTCAATTACACTAACTAATCTCCTGATATACATAAACATTTGATCGGAAGTCCGCGAGGGACTCGAGTAACCCTGGGGAAACTAAGGTGTGGATACTACAGTCAACTGAGCTCGTATCTATCCAGACTCGGCTCCGGTCTACCAAGCTTATTTCAAAAATCATTAATTTCGTATAATATGATTTAAAGTAAGTAGGGGTGGTCAGGCAACGTATCGATTTCCACAGTTTTTTATATCTTGTGTTTCCTAAGTGAACGCACAGTATATGTATGCCAAGTTTTAGCGAAGTCGCAACTAGAGTAACTTGTATAAGGAAATGAATCAGCAACAAGCGTGTAGGGTGTGCCGAGCTCGGCGGCCTAGAAAAAGAAGTAGTCTAATCAGGAGCAGCTGTGATCGCCGAAACAACAGCTACAACTTCTCCCGCTTAGAGTTTATGCATAGCTTCTTCCATTTCTCGTAAAAACAATTGATATATGTAAAAAAAGCTGTTGAAATCGGACCACGTTTACTGTTTTCCTTGCCGTTTGTGTGTGCGCCATTGCGTAAAATGCAAAAGACTTTTTGAGAGAGTCTATTCTTACTTTTAATTCTTCTTCTTTCTTACTTTTATTCTGACCGACCCTTTTGGTTCCTGGCTTTTCGCACTTTATTAAGAACTTTATTGGGTATTTGTTTGGTATGTTCAGCATTACAACACGAGATCGGTTTTTCTTGCCTCCATCTTCTTTATTCATGTACTCATTAGCTTATGGAATGCCCTTTTATACGTCAATTCTGCGCTGGTAATAAAAAGTTTGAGCCGGTAAATAAGGTTCCTATAAATTTTTAAACCCTTTTCGCGTTATGGGTACACTTGTAGCCGGTAAATTTTGCTACCATCTCATAAGGTGGTAACAAAGTATTGCCCGGTGAAACATGCAATGGCAGAATTTCCACAATTCTTCGTAGCCGAATTGCTGAATATTTTAACTGCATTACCAACGTACATTGAATCGCGGTGACAAGAACTCGTAACATTTCTGGTAATAAAAATTTCCGGGTCTACGTAACCGCCGGTACGCATCCTGTGTACTAAGACCGAAGACAGTACTAAGTTTAATAGCTGGCTCCCAAGACGGTTACACCTCGAACTACGCTACATATTGTTTTCAAAATGACCCATAAGGGTGAGGACTAGGAGTTCGTAATATGTTGAAAGAAAAGTTGGTCGATGCGACATGGATTCACCTCTATGTATGCAGAACTGTCCAAGCGTTAAAAGGCACCATCATGAAAAGAGTCTCTGACTAAACTTTCAGTTTTAAAATAAATATCTACTTAAGTTGTACTTTAGTAAAAAACAGAACGTTTTCGTAAATATGTGTAGTACGTATGTAAGTACACTTCCTTACAGCTTTTTCCCCACAAATCACTGCACACTTGTACAAGCCCAAACATCAGCAATAAAATGTAGTGTGAAAACGTAGGAAAATAATAAATATAAAAGCTTCCAATACAAAACACGTGACATTGATGGACTTTAGCGATGTGGCTTAGTGACTTGGTTTGTGTTGGCGCACACGTCGTTGATATTCATCTGCTGCAGTGTTTTGCTAACACAAAAGATTGGTTGGCGCAAAGCCACACAGCTTTTATTAGCTGACAAAGCGTAAACACTCAGCTATTACTTCTGAGGTTGCGCATACGCCATGGTGAGCCACAAAAGTAGAAGCAGCCGTGATTGAGCATTATTTGAATCGTTATTAGTTAGCGTTGAAAAAGGGGAAAATAAATTAAAGGTACAGAATTTTAAGGACTCGCGCTGTACATGTAGAAGATATAAATTGCAGTTCTACGCTCTTGAAATTAAATATATCTGCTGTAGACATATTAAATTTTTTAAATAAATGTATACGTGAAGAGGGTAATACAAAACCCGTTCCTCGACCTTCTTAGGGAATTTTTCTTATTTACATTTTTCAATTATTTTTATAATTTTTTCGTTTCCCTTGCTACAAAAAAGCATGCAACCACAATCAGCATTCCTCCATTATCCGCCGTTTTTGCAATTGTGCCTCTCATTTAAGTACCTCTGTAGTGGTAATCGAGCCGTTCTTTTTTTCGATATCTGCCATTGAAACGTGCATCCAGATAATAAGCATGAGAATGTCAAAAGAAAAGTAAAGTAAAGCTAATCGAAGCAATCCATTGCAAATGACAACATTTACAACACAGCACAATAAAATTTATAACAGCTTATACAACAAAAAAGTTGACCATGAAACGCCGCATAGCGTGGTAATGGAAGTAGCCACAAGTATAATAATAAAATAGCGCAAATAATATGCTTTCAGTTTGTTAACACCACAATTGCTTTGAACCCACCTTGAGCCTTCATGGATGAGCACAAAATGCAGCTGTCGATGGCAGCCGTTGCTAATAGCAGCATGTTGCACAAGCAACGCACAACAATGCAACAACTTCAAACAGCAGCAACGCTAATAATACGAGGACAGTAAAGATAACCAGCGGCGGCTAAATAAAAATCGAAAAAAAGCAAATAAAAAGGAAAACGCCTTCCAACAAGAAGCTGCCGCTGCCCTACGCACACAAGCATATCTACATACATAGAAGAAGTCAAGCACGCCCTTTAGCCCTTCGCCGTTAAATCCTTACTCTAATTGAGTGCTTTTCTGCCTTTACCGCAACCTGTCGCTGCGGCCGCAGTGCATTCTGCAACGCAGACGTGTTCAGGATAAAGAAGCCATAAAATAAGTTGCAATACGCCGAGTGGCGATATACATATGTACATATATATGTATGTATGTATGTATGCACTTCAAAGAAACAACAATAAGATTTGAGAAAAATTGTTGCAACAACCGATTACATGGCGGCCAACAACGACAAATTGCAATTTTCGTTTGCTTCGAGTGCAATAATTTGTAACTGGTTTTAGAACTGCACGCGCTGCAAATGCATACATACCCCTTGAAAATATTGCAATATATAGTTTAAGGGCTTACTAGTTCATAAAAATATTTGTCCTTGCTGGGTCCTAAAATCAACCAAAATCGAGTTTTGTTTCTAACTTTTTCAAATACTTGATGTATCCTTTTACTATCCTGCTCACTTAAATTGCATCCTTCAACTAGTAAAATCAATTATTTCAATTTCTACTTAATTAATGTAAAATCTACATACCCTGTAGGGAAAACTACTAGTTGTGAAGTAGAGTGCTACCAGTTTGCGTTTCAGCCCAACTAGTTCACGTTCTACCCTTTTTCAGTGTTAGCGGCTATCTCCAACGAGATGTCAATTGTCAGGCTATGCATCAACATCTACTGGTAAAACTACTAGCAGTAGCATCATAGCAGTTGGTGAGATATGTAGTCTGCCAACTCATCCCGCGCTACAACAGTCGCAATAGACGACAGAGCAAAGCACTGACGTGGTATTCCTGAGGTCCAAGGTTAAAGTCCTGGCGCAGGGAATTTTTTTTAGTTTTTTTTTATTAGGGGATTTTTATTGCAGTTTTTTAATTAAATTAAAAAAAAATTATTTTTGGGGGTTTTTTTTATGGTACAATTACACTCTTAAAAGTGCATGTAAAACTACTACTGAAAAGTGTTTATTTTTCAACCAGAATCTGTTCAAGTATACGCACAAGATGTTCAAGATTTGATTTTGAACATGAGTTTTTTAAAATTTACACATAAATATACACATGAAATGTTTAAAATTACAAACATTTTGAAAGTAAAAATATATTTTTTACAAATAATAAATACTAAGTGCCAGGGGCGCATGCAGGAATATATTTTTGGGGTGAAAGGGTTTATACTTCTAAATATCCAGAAATACTAAAAAATTCGCTCTTTAAATAAATTTATGCAAGTTTTATGTACAGTATGAAATAAATAAATAAACCTTTTAAAGTTTCATAAATTGCATTTTATTTACATAAAATTTACAAATAACTCGGACATTTTCAACCGGCTTCAAAAAATGGGAGACTATCAATTCTTCGGAGTATTTTTACTTCTTTTATGTATGTTACCGCACAACTTTGCACCGCGTGAACCGATTCCAATAATTCTTCTTTTTTTACCGGAAAGATTGTACTCTAAGGGTCGTCCCGTAATTTGGTTTAGATCCGATCGTTAAATCATGAAAAATTAACAGTTAAAGATGCACTCAACTTCCAAAAGTAATACAAAACTTTACAAAAGAATTTTAATATAAATAAATTAAATAATTTCACGAATTTTTTTTTGTACAAAATGACGCAAAATTTCTTAAATCGCGTGTGCGCTACGTCACAAATTTGATTTGTAAAAGTAAACAGACAGTGTTTAATTTTGCACACACTTAGAGAGGAAACTGGTTACCTCCCTACATGCGTAAATTTAAACGAAAATTTTTTAGAGGAAATTTTAAACATTTTGCGTGTAAACTGTGAAAATGTGAACAATAAATGCTTAAAACTCAAAAAGCAAATTTGAAATTTGTACTACGCCACACATATGATAAGTAAAAGTAAGCAAGCAGTGTTTAATTTAATTAACACGGTGTGTAAATTTGCATTCATTAAGAGAGGAAACTGGTTACCTATCTTAATATGCGCAAATTTAAACAAACATTTTTTAGAGTGTACTTTATACTTAAACCCAAAATATTGTGCATTGTGTAGTATTTACTACATAAATCTGAAATTCCTACCCCTTTTCTATACAATTTGCTGCAATATGAAAAGTTGACTACGCTATAGTAGCACATGTGCACTTGAAGTGTTTGAAATTGCTCGTAAATAAAGCGTTTGCTTTCGCTTCTCACTTCCGCTTTTTTCCTTTATAATACATTTTGAGTGTTTTGAAAAATATTGTGTGTGCTGCAAATGGGGGAAAGTAAACGCTCGTACCTTCTTTAGTTGACCTTGCAGCATTGATTCAAAAAGTACGTAGCTCAATTGATTTTTGGGGCCACTTTTATGCTTTAACTAACTTATTTATCAGTAGTTAAAAGAATGCTGTGCGGAAATGAAATATTTTGCTGCTGTTGAAATTTTAAAACACATTTTGAAACTTTAACAAATACAATTTTTAAATCAAGTTCTTTGTTTCTTTTAGTTTTTTTTTTTTTTTAATTGGCAGTTTAAGCCTTTATTACGTCTGACACAATTGATGCATGTTTATAAAAATTTAACACTTTTACTCTGGGATATCAGTACAAAATGATCAAAAAATTGGAGCACAAGCATTTGAAATATTTAAATAAACAATATTTTTACAAAGAAAAATAATTATCAAACATCAACGCGAATTCTTAGCCACTTGAGAATGTCACTTAATTGAGCTAGAATTTTATGGGATATAATACTGCATACTTAGAATTTCAAAACCGTACTCGTTTACTTTACCCCAATGTTCACATCAAATGTGGTATTTTATAACAATGACTATAAAAACATGTTTAACACTTGACTTCGGCCAATTCCCACGTTGAAAGTTTTAAGCTAAAAAGAAACAGGGGGATATCCTCTTGAAACTAAATTTATAGAAGTTGACACAGTTGTCAAAGGGCATTGCCATGTCGAGAGAATTGAGACAGTCTCATTAAAACACCATAAGACACCACAATGGGTCATATGACCCCAGAAATATGCTGGAGGAAGCGTTTGCACAAAATGATAAGCAATTGTATCATTTACTTTCGACTTTCAGTAAAGTTTTGGTTGGTTTTAATAATAGTTGCTGATGTGAGGATGTGAATAAAGTTCTGGAAGTCATCAATTTAAAATAAAAATTGTAGAGACGTGCAAATTGTGGCAATTCCCAATTGTGGCAATACTGTCATCAGGTATGTAACTTGAGAATGGAAATCGCTGCATTTTTTTAGGCGCTTCAATATTACATAGTTATAGATGGCAACACTGACCTAAGCGGGCAGCTGTTGTCTATTAAAGTAATAATTGAAGAAACTACATATACAAAAATTGCTGGCCTTGGGCTTCGAATCCACTACCTCGCGACACATCTATTCCACAATACTGCCGTTTGCCCGGACCATATGCTTGCTATAAGGGTATTTTGAACTAAACACGGTGAATGCAATAATCCATAATTAAACCCCTTGTCAGTGGCTACAAGAAAAAAGCGAAAACGGTTAAGTTTTAGATATCATATCATATAACCGAAGTAATCCGAGGTGACCTAAATAGTAACATCCTTTAGCATCCTTAGGATGACTATCCCGGTAACCCTGTATACATAGTAATTGCGTGTGCTTATTGTATTTTCCAAACCTATATATAAATACATATCCATATGTATGTAAATACCTTCATGCCATTTAATACATAATTCATGCTAAACAATCATGTATTTATATAAATTATACTTGCACATTCTCTTCAAATACATACCTCGCCGCATGCGGCCGCAAATCGCTGCTGCGCTCTATATAGCCAGTGTTGCCGTTGAGAATTTTCAGAAATTCGCAAAAAAGGGATCATTGATGGAAAAAGGGGTCACCGTATTATTTTTGCCTTTCTTTACTAGTAAAAGAATAAATCAGTTCAATTTAAAAAGAAAATAGCGCGACAAGCTTTGCACAAGACAGGGTTGTAAACATACACATAAATCTAGTTGCTGTAAGGAGAAGAGTTGCATTTCCTTTAAAAGTTTTAAGTGATACATTTTTTCGTACTTACAGGAGGAAAAATTTTTTTGATAGCATGGTTCTGTTAGCATTTCCTACAAAATCTCTGAAAATGGGCAAACGTCGCACATAATTTTGGAAAAGTCAGCTCAAAGGGTACTGGCGCTTAAAAATGGTCAAATTGCCCCTTTAGTCGCACAACGGCAACACTGTATATAGTGCCTATCTACCCCCTCCTCAGTCACCTACCACCATGCAATCTCATTTGAGCGCGCTTTTATTCCTTCAATTTAGCTCATTCTTATTCATATCTACATATTTATAACTTTATGCCTTTATCTCTTATCCTTATTGTATTTGATTTCATGTAATTTCATTTCTCATGCATTTTATTTATTCTCTTTTTTTCCAGCTTGTGCCTTCGCGAATTCTGCATAGAAGTCCTTCGTTCAGCTTACAATACATTGGTGCGTCAGGTCAGACGAGTGCTGGAACGCAATGCTGGAGCGGGCAATCACGATGATTCATACCTTTTGTGGGCCATACGATTTTTTATGGAATTCAATCGGTTGAGCGGAATGCAACTGGAGTTGGTGAGGTGAGTGGTAAAGCTTGGCGAAAGAAAAAGAAAAATCTGTAGCTGATATGATGGTATCTACTCGTATGTATGCACATTAGGGTGGTCCAAAAAATGCGTGTGAAAAATTAAATTCGGAATTTTTATGCTCTCACCCCCTAGGATTGTTCTATACCGAAAAAGTATACCCTTATTTTTTTATTTTGAAATCAAAAAATATCTAGAGGTCGCTCAAACCGACCAAAGTTTTCCACGTAATTTATATATGGGGAAACAACTTTTCGTAGAAATGGTATAGAATAGTTAAAAATCAATATTTTTCTACCAGAGAGTTCTGTTTATCTGCAGGAGATCCCCAATAATAATATAGAATGGTTTATTTAACAATTTTTTCATCGCAACTATAGTTTATAGGTCCGTCAAAAACCCATATACGTTTTTACTATTTTTGGACCACCCTAATGCACATACCTAAATAGGATAGTTGAGATGGAAGACTGATGGATGCCAGTTTAGATGCAAGCCAGTTTGTCTGGCAGGCATATGAATGATTGTTTTTGTAACGGCCACGCCAGTTACATAAGTTTGTATAGGAACGTGTGCACGTATGTATGTATGCATGTAGTCAAGCTTAACTCAGCTGAAATCAGCTTATTGGTAAACTGTTGTTATCGTTTGCGTTGCCACAAAATGGATTTACTGCAAAATAATTAAATGCAGACAATTTCTGTGCACTTTCCACTAGATTTCGTTATCTGAAGCGTTTTTACAGACAACGTTCAACAATATACAGATACAAAAAGCGTTTAAGTGACTTAGTATTGTCTTAAATTGCACTTTTGTTGAATGCTCACTTCCACAGTTGTGTTCGTGAATGGTCGTTAAATTCTGTTTTTATGAGGCAACATCAAAAAAAGAAGGAAAAACATTAAAATTTTAAATGTTCTATTTTGTGAATTTACTTTAGCTTGTCTGATTTTATTTTTGGTTTATGTTCGAAGAGTGCATTTCTCTTGACAACGTTGTGGCAAATAGTATTCTGTTAATGTACAGTGAGCGACAAAAGCACGTACTATAATTTAAGCGGCTTTACTCGAACTAGCAGCAAAGGAAGGTGACAGTAAAAAGACTCCAGGCCAGAAGCGAAACCTGTCCTCTCCGGCCAGTAGATGCTAATGAAGGATAGAAGAAAAAAAGTCAAATTCGGCTTACTCTGTTTAACACCTGACATTTTTAATTAACTGAAAAAGTCCTATTGCTCGCTAAATGTCACTCTAGGCCCCCGAAAACGATGTAGAAAGAAAAATTCACCCGAAAATTTTGCATGCGCCCGCAGTAAATACATGGAAACGGAAAGTGAAAAGTCAAATTTGCTGTAGAGACAAACCGGGATCAACGCTGAACGATCTTGAGTCAAATTGTTCGTAGTCGTGCAAACCAAATTTAACAAGCGATGTCGGAAACCTATTCCACAGTACATCATAGGGTAGGAGATCCTGTCGGAAACACCAATGGCCAAAATGAGAAGTTGTACACAACTCAAATTTGAATAATAGAGAATATGAGATTTCTTATGTACCACAGCCCATTAGATATGTTTCAAGAACAAACGATTGAAAAGCGATGCCGATTACAAGGCCAAGCGGAGAGAGCTCGAAATACGTGAGTACGAAGCGGTTGAAATGGTTCCCGGCAGGAAAAACGCCCGAAAATTGTATCAGAGCTAGGTTTCAAGACCAGGGTAGACTCCTGTAAGAACATCAATGGCGACCTAGTGACCGATGCCTAGAACGTATTGAAATTATGGAGCGAACACATTTTCATAGTGGAGACAGACGAACGCAAGCCCCTAGTCGATGATGACGGAGTCGATGTCCCTCCGCCTGACTATAACGAAGTACGAATAACGATTACGTGGCTGAAAAACAACAAACCTATTGGAGCTGACGGCCTGCCAGCTAACATATTCAAGTACGTCGACGAGGAGCTGGTAAGATGCAAGCATCAATTCTTATGCAGAATATGGTCAGAAGAACGCATGCTCAATGATTTCAATTGAAGTGTGCCATACGCTCCAGCTACCGCGACAGCAGCCTTCTAAGCATAGGTCACAAGGTCTTATAGGGGGTCCTATGTGAAAGACTCAGCACACCGTCAACTAACTGATTGGGCCTTATCAGTGCGGGTTTTGAACTGGTAAATCCACCATAGGTCAGGTATTCACAATACGCTAAAACTTGGAAAAGACCCGTGAGTATGGGGTCCACACATACCATCTATTTGGCGATTTAAAAGTCGCTTTCGACAGCACGAAAAGAAGTTGTCTTTATGCTGCAATGTCTGAATTTGGTATCACCGCAAAACTAATTCGGTTGTGTAAAACCACGTTGAGCAATACCACCAGCTCCGTCAGAATTGGGAAGGACCTCTCCCAGCCATTTGGTCCAAAATGAGATTTCAGACAAATTGATCTCCTTTAGGGTGATTTCTTTTATCTGTTGTTGGTGGAGATCATAAGAGCCGCAGAACTGAATCGCTCAGGCCCAGCACAAACTTTACAATAGCGTACAACTGCTGCTGTATGCCGACAAAGTGGACTTCATCGGTAAAAACAACATCTACGTTTGTTCAGCATTAACATCAATAATAATGTCAGCATTGAAATCCAAGGCAGAATCACTCTCGCCAACAAGTGCTATTTTGGACTGAGACGGCAATTGGGAAGTAAAGTCCTTTCTCGTCGTACAAAAATTACACTCTATAAGTCACTCATCATCCCCGTCTTTGTATATGGCGCAGAAGCATGGACAATGACCACATCCGATGAGGCGGCTCTTGGAGTTTTCGGAGGATAGATCTGCGAAAGATTTACTTTCTTTTGCTCGTTTTTCTTCAATATATTTTTTTTAAAGACTTATTACCAGAGATCATTGGAGATAGTTTTAGCAACTCAAAATATACTTACAGGGCAATTCAGTTGCAAGTATTTTGCAAGGCAGCTGAAAGATATAAATTAAGATAGTTTGAAAGACTTTATTTATTCCGCTAGACCGTTCACATCAGACCGTATCTTTCCTTAGGCTGTAACCGCGTAAGCGATTTGGTGGAGTCCAAAACAGCACGCCAGTCGTTTCTCTTCGGTGTCAACTGAACTGCAATTGGAAATGCCAAGTGAAGCTAAGCCCTTCCTGACTTGGTCTTTCCATCGCAGAGGAGGCCATTCACTTTCTCTGATACCACCTGCGGGTTCCTCGCTTAATACATACTTTCAGGGCTAGAGCGCTTGTGTCTATTCGTACGAAATTACCGAGCCAGCGAAGCGTTTTATTTTAATTCGCTAAGCTATGTTGCTATGTTCACGTCGTTCTAAAGCCCATACAACTCATCTTTCCGTCGACACGCAAATTATTTCCTTCGAATAGTCCAAGAGCCACCAGATGTCGTCAGAAAACGAAATTACTTAATTTCGCTCAAATATTTATAATGCGATAACTGCGGTAGGCAGTTCCTATAGGCAAAGACACAACTGGGTCTTTATAATGAAACGCACTTTCACTAGACACTGTGCTTAGAATGCCAACTAGAGCATTGAATAGTTGGACCACCGTTCGGGTTGCGGGGACCAGAAAAACAATAAGAAAAATTTTAGACTACAATAACATCTAAAGGAAGCTTCTTGCTTGCTGTGCGTACTTTAACGTGCACAGTGTCCTTCTTGGTGAGATTTTATTGTCTATCGCCAAGTTAAATTTATTTAGTGCACCCGCGGAAGCTCCGGACAAAATGCTTTCACCCGCATCCGGTTTTGAAACCAGCAAAAGCACTGCCGCGTCTCATCTCCCTGTCTCTGTGAAGTCAACTGCTTCATTATTTGGGGTGTTTTTTTTTCGGAAAAAACGTATTGGTATGAGACGAGCGGAAATGGTCGAAAGTTGGTGAATATTTTTGCTTCTGTTTTTTCCTGTTAAAACTCAATCGTTTTATTGTTTCAAAAATAGCCAAAGAATAGACGCACAGCCGAATAGGCGCCCAGGCGAGCAAAAAGCAATTTGGCGTGGGTTCTTGTTGCACTGCATCGCCCATAACGTCCCCTGCGTTGGCACTACTTATTACGTTTTTGTTTTTGTTTTACAAATTTAGCTACCCATTGAAGTGGTAGCTTTAACTATTGTTGCATTGTCCATTCATAGCTAACGAAGTTTCGCAAATTTCTTTACACTCTGGAATGCGGTTGTTTTCTTGCTTTTGCTGTCTTCTTGCATATGGCTAGGGCGACTTCCGTTAGTCAGCAGACAATTTACTTAGTTCACTACAATTCCTCTACTTCCTGCCCAGGTTGAGGTTTCTCTTTTCGACCGTTTTACTTGTCATTTGTTATGGTATTTCTTGTTGTTGCTACGGTGAAAATTTCTTTAAAATTGTTTTGGTTACTTTCAAATTAGTTTCTGTATGACAAGAATGAAGCTTTACAAAAATGTTGTCATTTCGCTGCTGTCTGCCCTTGCTTCTTGAGCCTCTGCAGCCTCACTCTTCCTCTCTCTCTCTCTCTCTGTCTCTCTCTCCCTCTCTTTGAGAAATTCAATCACTTATTTATCCATTCCATAGTTGTTGTGTTGCAGTAGTGCGCCGCCCAACTGTGCCAAATAGTTGTGTAGAACAAGACAATACATCTCCTTGTTGCGCACCTCTTGCGAAAAACTGACAAATGAAAGTCTTGTGGGCAGCTAGCTGCTTGTTGCTTGCAATTTGCAAAACTTTGCTTGTCGGCATTAATGCAATTTGTTTGGGGGTTTCACCCGAGTTCCTCAGCTGTTCTAGAGTATTCATTTTTATTTTCCTTTTTTTTGTGGTTTCTATAAATTTTTCTTTGAAAATTTTCAACAAAAGCTTATTTAAGTTAAAATATACTATTTGTGCTCAACAATGGTAAAATTTGTTTTGTGCATATTTCAATTGTCTTCTCAACTTTAGCCGTGTTTTCTCTCGAAAAAAAAAAATATTTTTATGATGCCGGAAAAAATTAAATTTCTGTATGTATTAGTATAAATCTTGATAAAAGTTTAAGAAAAAACCGTGTTATTGAAGACTTGAATTATTTATATTTGTTAAGTATTTACTTAAAGGTTTTTTCTCATCCTCTAATACGAATACAGTTAAAATCAATATATGTGACGATTTTTTGCGATGCGCTCAAATTAACGCTTTGAACGCTGTTTGTAGGTTCGCCATCGGCAAAAGGAGGCGCGCACTTTAATAAACGTCTTTAGGCAGGGATTTTTCAATTAGTTTTTCTCTTTGGAAGCTTTATTAGAATACCTTCCTATAGCGCTGCCGTTCGAAGGCAGACGAGAAAGTTGGATTTCCATGGCATTGAAAGTCAAATAAGTATCTTTTAATAGCCCTGCCATTCGAAGGTAGATGTGAAGGTGTTTTTCGAAGGCAACCAAACTCAAATAGAAGAAAAAATGGCAGTAGACGCATCGGTGTATGTCTACTGCAAATTAAAATTCAAACTGTTTCATTATTATTTTATGTGAAGCTGGATCAGAAGGCCTGGCAATTCTGTCATTCCATACAAAATGAAAAGGAGTAATGAATCGCGCACGGAAGGCCTATCGCTTCGAAATACATACTCGAAATAAGGGCTCCAGGAAGGCCTCTTATTTTATAACTTTGTCGAGTGGGTTAGGTTGAAACGATTGCAGAGCTAAATCCAGCTTACATATAGGCCAAGAATGAATAGCGCTAAAATACAAGTCCCTTTCAATGCTGTGAGCTTTGCCGATGGTCTTATCTCTACCTGTTAGATCTCTGCAAGAATTTGATTAAATGGTTTGCCAAGCGCGCGTAATATTATTTTCTGATCTTGCTACTACAACATTGGTCCATGTAACCCGCATCCCGAAAATATCCATTTAGAGGATACGAGTCAGCGAACGAATCACTCAGATATTGTGAGTGATCGCCTTCTTTGGGCCATTGAATCGCGACCTTAAAGGAGCCGCGTGCCCGGAGCGGCATTATACCAGCTGAACTGCAGAAGTCTGCGGAGATGTCGTGCCGTTTGTTGATGCCTATCCTCGCGAGCTGCCTAGCTAGCGGTCATGTTCCGTAGCCTTGGAGGAAAACAAGAGTCACTTTTATTCCTAAGGTGGGTAAGGTCTTGCAGTTATCATCCAGCAACTTCAGAGTCTTTGCTCGTTTCTTTTGGAGACGCTGGGGAGGCAGCTGACGGGTGGTTACCTATGCTGACAGAGTAGCTCTGATAAAAATGGGAAAGTTCTGGAAACACTATTTGAACTTATGCAGGGAGGTAAACGTTACCGAATTGCCTTCTTTCCGCAATGCGCGGTCTCCTGCTAGGTATCGCTGACAGGGTGAATTATCTGTTTTTGATCCTTGATAGCAACCTTTCCTTTCCAACTTAGAGGAAATGTTGTGTTCATAGATTAGCAGTGCTCCGCGCGCGGCAGTGAGGCTAAGTGGGTGGGCTTTAAGTTCGCCTCGAGCTATGGGCACGCCAGTATTCTAAAAAGATTCGTGTTCCTACCGACTCGAATAGACCACTGCATGCCGCTTCACATTCTAGCGAGAGAGGACTGTTGGTAAGGTAGGCGAAGTTGTGATTCCCTTGGAATGCAAGGTGGCTAAATCCTTCTGACCGCGCGTAGACCGCAGTCAGTCCAGGGAGCTCTTGAGACTTAGCAAGCTACACATTTCGCAATTGGTGGGAGTTCTAACTGGCCATTGCGTGATAAGTAAGCATGTCGTAAAGCTACATATCATCGATGACGCTTACTGCATCAGCTGCATGGTGCACGATGAGGTGGAATCATGTCAATACCTGCTACTCTGGTGCCCTGCCTTTTCGAACCTAAGGTTTAAGTACCTAGGGTACACTTCCAATGAGCTTTCGGGATTGGATATCAGTCCATTGCGCTGCGATGTGCGTTGGCTGCTATAAAGGGTTCTAGTATCCTCCCTGTGAAGAGGCGCTGACCGATTTTTTAAATGTCTCGACTCCATCGCCGCACTATTGGCCCAATTTTTGCAAAAGTATATTTTATAACAGTTTCTCATAAAAATAAAATCGCCGTTCGGAGTGGGCGTAAAACTGTAGGTCCCTCTCCTTTGTGTGGCAACATCAAGGCGCACGCCATAAATCGGAGGAGAAGTTCGGCCAAACACTAAAATATGTGTAAGCGCCAATCTATTATTATTATTATTATTATTATTATATATAATGCGAGTAGCATACATTATCCACCTAGCGAGCTTTCTAGTATCCTATAATAAAGCAAAATATGCAAGGAATAACCACCGAAAATTTGACCGAATTTCATCTAGTAGTTTTTAAGCCAAGTTCGAACTATAGAAGCGACGAGTATGTAAGTTCTGTGTCGCTTGGGGGATTGATGCCAGTGATACATTGGGCCTCATCCATAAAAAGTCAGTCGTAAGCTGTGCAAGCTTCAAATAAATTATTAAAATATTATAACTAATTTAAATAAAACTATTCTCGTTCATGTAAATTCATACAATATTCCTTTTATAATGAGTCTACTTTAAATATTATTAGATCTATTTTAATTTCGTTTTAGTTACCTGGAGATTAGAGTGCGATTAAGCGTCTAGATAATTAAAACAAACCACTAAGAAAATTTAAAGTTTTTCCCCCATTTACACATACTTTTAACTGAGAAAGTCTCTTACATAATTCACACACAGATGTTGCACCTCGTCGCTGAAACATATCAGATAGCCGTCTGTCTGCTTCTTTAAGTATCCACGCGCAGCTATGCGTTTCTGTCTGTAATTTCGTTAATGACATCAGCGACTATTTGCGAATTCCTTTGCGTTCCCGCCTTGCCAAAGTAGCAACCAAGGAGTTCTACTTTTGCACAAAGACTCTACTTACTTTTTTCTTTTTATTGTATTTGAATTTTAATTTCTTAACACTTAAACTCATCACTTCGCTTTTGCACGCTTTTCCGCACTTTTACACCTATCTACTTTGCATACTTTTCCGAGCTCCTTAATACTTGTAGTTATAGGACACACATTAATACATATGTATGTATGTAAGGTGACGTTTTTCTTTTTCTTTCGTCTCTCCATTGCAGTGAATCGCTGAGTGTGCAGTGCTTCCACTGGGTACTGACGCGCATGCAACACGATATGGATATGATTGTCAGCGACAAGAAGCAAGCGCGCATCTGGGCAAAGCGTTTACATGTCGCAATACAGGTGAGTATCTATGCATGTAGTTGCAAGTACATACCTGCGCACGGCGCACTTTTTCGGGGGTGCGAGTGATCAAAAATAGCTAAAAACATGAACAAATTTAATGAAATATTTTTTAGTGTGATAATGACCTAAATATAAAAACTCTGAATTTTCTAAATCTGCTTTCGGTTTCCCTCTGCTTATTTTGGTTCGAAAGATATTTGACTTAAGACCCAACTAAGTTTAGTCAAAATAAAAAAAACCGGGTTTTGTGATAAACATTTTCAACTTTGGAGACGTAGTGTTCATAAACGGCAAACGATATTTTAAAAATTTTGTTTTTGTTTGAAAGATTTATTAATCGTTTATTTAATGTAAGCTATTTCTTAAATTTGTATTAATCTAAGTGCATTAATTTTTGTGTTGATAATAAAAGCTTTACTTGTTACATTTTTTACCTTTAGCTAAGCTTTTAAATACTAAGCCAGAACTAGCTTAAAAAATTATTTATACAGGCGTCTACTATGAGTTATCCCAAGTAGTCATGTACATACATATATATACTAGCTGCGGTAAAGTGCAGGTTTTTATGTAAAAAGGCTTTAAAGTTCAAAAATCGTATAATTAAAAAAAAAAAAATTGGGTTAACTTTGACCTAAAAAATTAAAAAAAAAAATCTATGAGGATTGAATCGTAAAATAGTGCGGCTAATAACTTCGAGTAAATGTACGTTTGACCAAAATGCTGATTTGATGAAAACAGTTGAAAATTTAAAAATTTTTAGCAACTTTCATATGAATAAATATGATTTCTAATCAATTTGTGCCTGATTTTACATGGTAAAATTTAAAAAATAATTAAAATTTTGATTGTTATCAATAATTTTCATTAATTTAACGATAGCCACATGAAACTTTGCAATGCACAAGAAATTAAATTTTCGAAGACTCGAAGTTTGAATGAAAATTGTATAGTTTTGTATTTTTTTTTTCAGCTCATTTACAAAGTCGATTTGTATTTATTTTTGCTATTGCTAATTACATACTAAGTCTATTCCAATGCCAAAAAAAAACAGGTCTGGGAAGTTGGCATACGGTATGACGCAAAACGATAATATAGTTGTTCTGAGTGTCTAGCCTTCCAATAGTTCTAGAGTTCTTGAAAAGGGAAAAAAGTTCTGGATATTTTGAAAAAAAAAAATTTAGAACATTGTGTATGCCAGATTCTCGCAGCATACGACACGCGGCAAAAAAGGCAAATAAAAAAGTGTTCTCATTAGCTTTTCAATAGTTCTAGAGTTCCTGAAAAGGGGAAAAAAGTTCTGCATAATTTCGCCAAAATTATTATTTTTTTCAAAAAAGTCGAGAAAGCGTAATGTTTGAAAAAAATAAATATTAAAACTGTTCTGAGTAGTTTTTCAAAAATTCTAAGGTTAATGAGAAAGAAATAAAAAGTTCTACAAAATTACACCGAAAAAGAATTTTTTTCGTAAAAGTTAAATTTTTGAAAAAAAAATAAAATTAAAACTGCTCTGAGTAGCTTCTAAATAGTTCTAGAGTTCCTGAAAAGGAAAAAGAAAGTTCTGCAAAATTATATATGTATTCTTTTAATTTCGTTAGTTTGAGGTAACTTTTCAAGATTAAATTGGAGCATAATTAAATTTTTTGTTATCGCTGTCGACAGACAATTTTCTACTTAATAACAAAAAAAAAATCCACGAAGAAAAATTTTATATCCGTTCAAAAGTTATAGATTATTGATCACTCAAACGCCTAAAAATGTACACTGTGCTACGTTCTACATATTAATTTTAGTATGTATGTACATATTTGTGTGCTTTGTAGAAGTTGCACTTTTTCGCTGCTGGTGAGTTGAAAAGCAGTAAGGATGAACGTTTTGTTTTAATTCGAATCAACTTTTAGTGCTAAATTACTAACCAGGATAGAATTTGCTAAAATCTCCGACTTCGGTTTCCTATGCCAAATTCCCATAAGAATGTCCAAAAGAATGTAAACTTTGAGCCCTCTAAAATAATCCGTTGTCAGAACCTTGTTAGTCTGGTAACTAAATGATTGGGAAATTCGTTTCTGCTCGCGATAGACCCGAAATTTGGATGTCAGTAGAAAAAAACCGAGATCTCACAAGCGGTTTACAGTTTATAGTCGAAACGGTTGGAAATCATCCGCAGAATTCAAGCCACGAACGTAATTTTTGAGCCATATTTGAGTCGTTTTTGCATTAGGATCTAGAGTAGAGCGTTGTTTTTTTTTAAATCAACCGGTTTCGGTTTTCACCGCTTGGAAATAAGTAAAAGAATCCGCCAGTTTCTCCAAAAATCTAATGATTTTAATTTGTCTATATATGCAATTCCTAAAACAGTCATTGGCGAATATGCTTTATCATAATAACCTCTGTGCTATAAAATAAGAAATTTGAAGGAAATCTGGTTGAGAAATTAATTCTTGATGAGAGTGAATGAAAATTTATTGGCATCAAGAATTCACTGACCTAAGGTCTATATCAAGAATTATGTTTATGGATAAAACCTGTGCAGTTGAAAACCTTATCGGAGACTGTCTCTTCTAAAAAGATTCACTCCTTAATTTCGAACAGAGTAGTGTTGAGGGCATCCACAACCTAAAACGTCTGCATAATTGCACTTTTGCGACCCCATAATTGGCTCTTAGCTAGTCCCAATCATGGCATCAAAACATGGACTCTGAACACCCTAACACCCAAAACGAGTCATGAAATATTTTGTGGGTGTTCACACTTGCCTGGTTATCGGGTTATCTGGTTAACATTTTTTTTTCTATATTGTATTTTACTGTTGTAAATTGAATACAAAATCTGGGTGTTCACCTTTGATTGGCTATCTGGTTACCTGGTTAAAAATTGTTCTACTGTAGTGTATTTTATTATTGTAACCACATAACCAGATAACCAAGTACCAAAAATTACATTGTGATAACAGAAAAACCAAGTCGCTATATTTGTAGAAATATTCTTTAATAGCGAAAAATTGTTCATCTCAGGATCGTTTTGACAGGGTTTTTGTTGGGATTTTGATTTGGCATACTGCATGCGCATGTAAGTTACATATTGCCGGTGTGTGGTGTTCTATGTGCGCTGTCTTACGCATTCCAATAAGCGAATTTCTCCAAAGACTTTGGTGACCCTTTAATGGCTTAAGGGTACGATACACGCACGATACAAAGAATTTTTTGTAGATTTTTCATTTTAACCTTTTAACATTATTTCAATTAACTGATGGAGAAACATACTTTTAACGCGGAAATTGTATTTTAAGATCACCTGTTAAAAGCAAGTATATTAATTTCATGTACTTAAACATTTTGGCTACCGAGGTGTACACTTTCAAACTATCAATAACAATCCTCATTATGCCGTATTATATTATATGTAGTTTCGGACCGATAATGGTTTTTCTAAGTTCTAGAAAAGTGAAGTACAAAAATACTCTCAGCCGAGTTTCAAGCCACTGCATTCGGCTAAATCGTTTGTAAGGGAGCTTACGGCCCCTTTTAAACACCCCTTTTTTGTGTGGCAACCTGCTTCTTGCCCTCTATTTGAACAGACTTCAAATTTGCATACACATTTTGCTACTTCTAAAATTTTTGATTATCTTCTCTACATTGTTGGGCTAATACTGCTTTCAACACGCATCGCCTTTTATGCAACTTCTGCATCTTTGCAGCACACGTTTGCATGTCTGCTGGCTCATTTCTTTTGCAAGTACGCAATTCACCTCTCGTCTTCCTTTCTACATTACTTATTCTCATCACTTTCCTTCCTTCATTCATCTCGTTGCTCACCTCACACCTCCATGACAACTTCAAATCTGTATATTTTCTGTTGATGCAACTTGCCACAAATTTGCTTGCACATCACCGCCTTCCTAGCGTGTATGTAGTAGGGCATGTGCGGTAGGCGCTGCAAACGCGGTGAAATGCCGGCAAATTGGAGTGCTGCCAACCAACGCAACAGCACCAGTGACTTATCACATTTTACGGTTATTAGGTGGAAGCGCAGCGGTTCGAGGATGTCAAGAAATCAAAAGTTTGCAAAGAAACTGGCAACAGCACAAACAAAAAATTTACTTCTCAAAACAGTCAAAGTGGAAGAGTTCAAGACATAGCCGTAGACGTAAAGAACCAGTGGCTGAAGTATTTGTTGCTTGTTGCAAAATAGTAAATGTACTCGCACTAAGCACAAACGCAAGAAAAAAATGTTAAGTATGTATTTGCTAAGGCAAAGTCACGTGTGGCATTTTACAGAAAGATTATTTAGCAAGAAAAGCTGCTTTTGCAGTTCATTGCATTTACGTGCCACAATGCTGTTGCCATAGTCGCTGCAAACCCTTTGCCTACAACATTTTGGATTTGGTGTCGATTGCTGCTGTTGATACTATCAAGTTTGTTGAAGGATTCCCTAGTTGGCGTGTCATTGTTATTGCTACAGCTGGTTCATTAACACGAATCGAATTCAGCGCATGTCTTTGGCCGGAGCTGCCGTTAATTAAAAGCAGCCAGCTTACTATGTACTAACGGTTTTGCACTACTTATAATATGTCCTGCGCTTCCTTTTGCACGCTTGCCATTCAGGTGACTTAAAAGTGCCAAAGCATCCTATTAAATAACTTACACTCATACCCATTGATTGTGAATGACTGGTACTCAGGGCATGGTGCAACGCCGCTTGGCATAGTTTGTCTCTGCTTGACTTGCAAACTCCGGGTCTATTACTCATTAGAAATGCGCACATCTACCTGTCTGCTTCTGATGTAGCTTCCGCTTCTTTAACAACGATTTGCTTAATTAGATGTCTTGTGGGGTAGTTTTATTGTAAAACATGATTTCATTTGGTATTTGTCTGCCTGTTTAACAAGCAAATGGTGTCTTGTAACTGAAAGTAGTAAACTTAAAGAGCAAACACTTTTGAATTTCACTTGTGTAAATAAATCAATGGCATATTCACGGGAGAACCTTCTGGAAATTTCT